AATCTGTCACAATTAATTGTGACAGATCCCATGATTACTTAAAATGCTGACATTTGGGACAGCTATGTGGAGAGTATATAGAAACTCTGTGTACTATCTTCTATAAATCTAAAATTTTCTACAATTAAAAGGTTTTTTTTTTTAAGCAACTATACTTCCCTGAGAAGTATGTGCTTTATTTTTCCTTTTCAAATTTTTATTTAAATTCTAGTTAGTTAACATATAGTTTAGTAGTAGTTTCAGGAGTAGAATTTAGTGATTCATCATGTACATACAACACCCAGAGCTCATCACAAGTGCCCTCTTTAGTTCACATCACCGATCTAGCCCTTCCTCATCCCCATTCCTCCATCAACCCTCAGTTTGTTCTCTGCTAAGAGTCTCTTATGGTTTGCCTCTCACTTTCCACCCCCCCCGCCACGTTCTCTATTTCTTAAATTCCACGTATGAGTAAAATAATATGGTATTTATCTCTCTGGCCAACTTAATTTGCTTAGCATAATACCCTCTAGTTCCATCCACATTGTTGCAGATGGGAATATTTCTTTTTTTTTGATGGCTGAGTAATATTCCTGTGTGTGTGTGTGTGTGTGTGTGTGTATACACACCACTTCTTTTATCCATTAATCAGTAGATGGACATTTGGGCTCTTTCATAATTCGGCTATTGTTGATAACGCTGCTATAAACATTTGTGCCCCTTCAAATCTGTATCTCTGTAGCCTTAGGGTGAATACCTATTGAAGTTTCTGGATTGTAGGGTTTCTATTCTTTTCTTTTTAAGGAACATCCATACCTCTTTCCAGAGTGGCTACACTGGTTTGCATTCCTACCAACAGTGGAAGAGGGTTCCCCTTTCTCCTCAACCTTGCCAGCATCTGTTGTTTCCAGTGTTTGTTAATTTTAGTCATTCTGACTGGTGTGAGGCAGTATCTCATGGTTTTGATTTGTATTTCCCTGATGATGAGTGATGTTGAGCATCTTTTCATGTGTCTGTTTCCCATCTGGATGTCTTCTTTGGAAAAATGTCTATTCATGTCTTCTGCCCATTTCTAAACTGGATTATTTGGTTTTTGGGTGTTGAGTTTTAGAAGTTCTTTATAGATTTTGGATACTAACCCTTTATTAGATATGTCATTTGCAAATCTTTTCTCTCATTTTGTGGGCTGCCTTTTGGTTTTATCAATTGTTTCCTTTGCTGTGCAGAAGCTTTTCATCTTGATTAAGTCCCAATAGTTCATTTTTGCTTTCATTTCTCTTGCCTCCAGCGACATGTCTAATAAGAAGTCGCTATGGCCAAGGTCAAAGAGGTTGCTGCCTGTGTTCTTCTCTAGGATTTCGATGGTTTCCTATCTCAACTTTGGGTCTTTCATCCGTTTTGAATTTATTTTTTTTACATGGTAAAGCAAGAAAGTGGTCCAGTTGAGAGAAAAGAGTGAAGGTGTCCAGCACTAAAGCAGGTGTCTGACTTCCCAGGTGGCTAGAAAGAGAGAGGGACTCAAAGCAGGAAAGAAACATTAGACACCGGCATCTCATCTCCCTCATAGCTGGTGCAGAGAAGGGGAAACACTGCTTGAAGAAGGGTTGGCACCCACAGCATGCTTACCAGAAGCTCCTGGAGAAAGTGTGTCTGTACAGTTGGGGAATGAAGTCCTCTTATTTTTCTCTTTATCTTTCCTTTCTGTCCCAGTGTGTGACACACAATATGTGGCATCATGAAAATTTGTATGATTTCCATGTGACCTTACCCCCTCCTTTTTTCCTTTTTTAGACTTTATGTCCAACTTAGATAAAATCCTCTAAAAGTTGGGAAGATTCTGTTGCACCCAGTGTTAAGAGCAATAGGAGTAGGAAGTGAAGGTTGGAGGTGTGTGGGTACCATAGTGCCCCACCATATGTGTGTGTGTGTATATTTAGGTTTGACTACTCAACAAGCAAGGCTGCTTTTTAACTGTCACATTGGGTCCTGGGATCCCAAGCATGCCTTTGAGGACTCTTCAAACACATTTGAACTGGTGGACTTTTTCAAGGCCAGGAATAATAGTAACAACAGCATTTATCACATACTGACTTGGTTCAGGCACTGGGTCAAGTGCTTCTCCTGTATTATCTTCTTTAGTCCTGCAGGGAAGGTGCTAAATATTATCTGCATTTTAAAAAATGAGGAAATGAAGGCTTAGAAAGCTTAAGTAATTTGCTCAAATCATATGGCCGGTAAATGGTATGACTGAGAATTGAACCTAATTATTCTAGCTCTTGTCTTTTAAGTCATTTATTTATACTCCTGAGGATTAAAGTATTTTGGGTTGTCTCATGATGAAGCATGCTACCCAGATACAAAAGTGAAGAAAGCTCTGTAACATTTCACAAGAATATTGCAGCTGGAGGGCCATGGCTGTGTAATGGTTTTCTATATAAACAGGACATTTATCAATCTCCAAAGTGAAATGGTCTCTACGAGATGGAGAGAATACAGATCTAGCCTCCTCCTCTTAGAAAAGGCCACTGGGACTAAATAGGTAACGGCTGTGCTTCTGCTCCTTGGGGATAATGGCTAAGGGGCCCAAGATGAATCCAGTTCTATTTCTCAGAGGTTCTAATTGACCGTGACATGGGGCCTTTTCTAGAGGTCCTCCAAATAACTGTGCGAAAAGGGAAAATGCTGAGCATCTCACCACTTTTTCTGAAATACTTTTTCCTTCTCAGTATGTATGCTGAAACTATGTTGTTCCTGTGCTATCATTGGCTTAGAACTCTTCACAGGCATGGTTTGTCCCAGGGTGAAAACACCACCTTCTGTTCTATGACCTTCTGCTTTAGGGGTGGCCTTGTAAATGAGTTGGTTTCTTTCTTTCCTAATTCTGAAAACTCTTTCTTATTCTAAGGTGGACTGCTGGAGATAGCTTTTGCAGTTCCTCTGCTCTGTCTCTCGACAGTGGTCTGTTGGCACCCTTCATCACGGACAGGCTTTTAATAAACGCCTAATAGGACAGATTAAAACATCAGGACAGAAAGATTACTTTGTACTCTATGGATGTTGTATTTGTGCAGTAACTCCTTGAAAACCGTATCACCTAATACTATGAAAGCTCCTTGCTTGCTTGCTCAAAATCCTGCAAAATCTCCTGTTTTGTTCTGGCTTTCGTTGGGTGCCTGATGACTTGCCTGAAAGGGAGTGGAATTCTGAAGAGTAAGCGAGGAAGAGACAAGGCTGAGCACAGGGAGTGAGAGAGAGACAGGTGGCATTAGAAACTGCTCCTCTGCTGTCCTAAGCACAAGGGCAAGTCCATGACTAAACCCAAAGGGTCATATCCATCACCCCTCCCCTCCCCCTCAACAGTGTGTTTTTGGACTAGAGGAGCACTTAGAACCTTGAGGCAATGTTGACATGGATGTCCTTTCAAAAAGTATTTCATGAGCCAAATAAAAATGTCCCTTCAGGATCCCAGGCCAGTTAATTCAGAGTGAAGCTGTTTGTGTGAGCGATGATTTCAGCCCAGCTGTTGTCCACACTGCACACCAGGCCTGTTACAGAGCAAGGGTCCATGCACAGCTGCCGGCTGATGTCACTGCCTGGAGCTGGGCCTGCGATTCAGATTGTGGTACTGACTGTGAGCAGTAAATCCTCCCTCCCCAGGCTGACCCTGACCCATTTTTCCTTTCCCCTCCCCTCTGCCTTCCCTTCACCTCGCTCACAGTGGCCAAGGAAACTTAAACACTTTTAAGCTTTGTTTTCTTTTCTTTTTTTTTTTTTTCTTTTCCTTTTTCAAGATTTTATTTATTTATCTGAGACGAGAGGGAGCACAAGCAGGGGCAGGGGGGAGGGGGCAGAGGGAGGGAAGCAGGCTCTGTGCTCAGCAGGGTGTGAGGCCTCAGAAGGAATACCAATAAGGGACATGTGACTAATAATATTTCTACTGCCACATGGCATATTCCCAAGAAAACAAATCTACCTCATTGTTGGAAATTCATCCCAGAAACTGGCTAATTTCACATTACTTAAGTAGAATGATCATTAAGCTAAACTGTCCTCTCTGCCCTGAAACTCTTACTCCTTCTACAACTGCAGAATTTTTACAAAAGAGAGGTAAGGATTAACAACTGACTCACCAGGACTCATTTTACATTACTGCATGGGCACTTTGGGATACTCCTGACAGAGTATCACTCATTTCACCTGTATTGAATGCCAGCGAAGGAAAGCTGGAAAAGTCAGAAGTCAAGCTTCCTGAGAAATGGTAAAGATATTCCAGGATTTATTATAGTGTGGGTGGGTATGCATTTATGTGCAAGTTCTGCAATATATCGTTAATCGTTATGTGTTTTCAGTAGGGGGGTGGCGGGTAGGATGCTTGGATTTTAAATTATGCCTTTCAGATGACTTTGTCTTAAAAAATAATGACCTTCTGATATTTTTATATTGTAGCTTTTAAAATGTGTTTTTTCTAAAGCTGGTATGCTCTGGTGATCGTGTTCAACATATTCTAATATTTTGCTTTTATTACTGTACTTTTGAAATCAGCTCAAATTAAGTCAAAGCTTAAAATCCCTTTATTTCTTCTCTCTCATCTTCCCTGTTCCCTGTGTCTTAGCTCCTCCCTACGGGCTGGCCGGCCTTAGAGACGCCTCGGCCAATCAGAGTCTCCTCTCCTTATGGCCCCTGCACTGATTGGTCAACATACAAAAGGGTGATCCTCCCTTGGAAACCGGGTTTTTCTCAAGTACTTCTGTTATTTCTTGCTAGATGGTTGTGTGGGGGGTTTTGTTTTGTTTTGTTTTGTTTTGGGAGGTTTTATTTTGCTGCCAGCGACCATTTCCTCTTGTTCCTATTTCTTGTTCACTTTTATACCATTACATTTGAAAATCTGGTCGAGAGAGAACGAAGTACTGCGAGAGTCCTGTGTCCGTATTTCCAGACTCATCACAGCTATGCGTGAATGTGATGAATTTAGGACATTGCGCAGATGAAAAATATCTTTTCCCTTTTTCATCTCTTTTCAGTCACTGCTTCATCGACCTGTGAGAAATTAGAAAAAGCGAGGAATGAGTTGCAAATAGCTTATGAAGGGTTCGTCCAGAAGCTAAACCAGCAGCACCAGACTGATCTATCAGAGCTAGAGAATCGGCTTAAAGAATTTTACACTGGGGAGTGTGAAAAGTTCCAGAATATTTACATTGAAGAAGCAGAGAAGTATAAAACTCAGTTGCAAGAGCAGGTCTGTGCCTTTGGAGCCTGAGCATGTTATCGGTCATGGCTATTTATTTAAATTCTAATTGTGGGATGAGGAACTTTCTTTGAACTTCTATTTATTTAAATAAGTGAAAAAAGGGTTTATCATTTTTTTTCTTATGATCAAAGCAATGTTGAGTGAAAGAAGGGAAGAAAAAAAAAGTTAAAAAAAATCCTTTATCATGCAACCTGGAAGTAATCCCTTTGTGAGCATATTGATATTATACTGCTAAATGATGGGTTTGCATTTCTTCCTTTTCAGAGTGACACTTAATAACCCATATTTCACACACATTTTTTTTTTTTTTTTGGTGAGAAAGATTTATTTAGTTAATTTTAGTTGCACATACCTACTTGGCAATAGAAGATAGTGGGGGGTAAGAACCAGATTCAGAACCACATTTTGTACAATATTTCAAAATATATCCTCTGTTAATTAGTGAGGTATTATCAATAAATCCATAGTAAAACCTAGATTAAAACAGAAGAATATTTTAACTCAGAGGGTTAGAAAAGTTTTTATTTATAAAGTTTTTTATTTACTTATTTGAGAGAGAGAGAGAGAGAAGTAGGCTCCCTGCTGACCCTGGGATCATGACCTTGGCAAAGGCAGATTTTTAACCCAGTGAGCCACCCAGGGGCCCCAAGAAAAGCTTTTAAATTAAAAAGTGATAGAAGAAATAACAGAGGGAAAGAAAAATGTTTGTATTATGTACAAATGTAAAACATTGAAAAACAACTTACGTAATCAAAAGGAAAAAACTGGTAAAAATAAGTGGCAGTATATAAACAAAGAAATGCTTAATTTCTTTATCAGAGAGAGCCCATGTCATAAGCTTCTCTTTAATTTTCTTGCTTCCTTTTAAAATCAATTCTCCATTTAGTAAATATTTACTGAGTACCTACTAGACCAGTCATGTGCTAAGGACTGAGGATATAAAGACCAGTATTATAGGCATGGATCATACGTGGTCCTATCACCATGAAACAAAGCCTCATTCCTCATGATGGAGTTGGCTATTTGCATCAGAGGACCCTGGAGAGCCTGTGTGTTGGTGTTCCTGAGGGGGGACAGAGTGAAGAACTGGGAAGGGCAGATCCAGATTGGGTTGCTCTTTCCAAGCACTGGACAGCCCTTTAACTTGAATACACACTATGTATCAAGTCTCCTAATGCTGTTGCTTATTACTCAAGACTTTTTTTTTCCCTTCTAGTTTGACAATTTAAATGCTGCCCATGAAACCTCTAAGTTGGAAATTGAAGCCAGCCACTCAGAGAAAATCGAATTGCTAAAGAAAGCCTATGAAACCTCCCTTTCAGGCAAGAATGCTTTTTTTTTTTTTTTTAAATAGATTCAGATCTAATGGAACAACGTGATATGTTTTAAAACGGAAATGATTCATAACTTTCCCTTCCAGAGAATACCCTGTGGTATTCAGTTTGGAGTGTTTTTGCTTTCTTTTTGCATTGTTCATTGTTAGCAGATGCCCTTTTCCCCTTAGGAGGCAAATAATAGTTTGTCACAAATGCCAGCCTTTTTAGAAATAAGAGCTTTTAAAGAACGTAAAGGCCTTTTTGGTAGTAGTTGTTCTTTACCACTTGAAGTCCTGGGAAGTTAAAAGTGTTAGTTTACATCCTAGCCACAGTAAAGGATCAGTGCTAACAATACTTGCTCGCCAACACTTACACACCAACAACGCCGTGACATGGAGAAGGCACTGGTTGAGTCAAGAAAGAATATTTTAAAATTATTTTATATTTTAAAATTATTTTATCATGATTGGAAAGGCTGAAGTAGAAGGAAAAGGAGCCATTTCTTTAAGAACACAAAGGATCATGGAAGTTGTTACACTTAGCTCCGTGCACCCCTCAGAGAAGCCTGTAGATGTGGGCTAAGAACAGGCGGGCTCCCCAGTGGCAAAGGCCTTTTCTCATCAGAAAAATAGAATTGTCCTGAGAAGTCAGAGATGACAACATGTCAAAGTGACTGGCCAAGGGTAGATATTAGTAAACACTGTCGTTCTTCCTTCCTGCTAGAATTGGGTTTAATTTTAGACTTCTGTTCGGTTCACGAAGAGCAAATGGAAAAGCACGCGGGAACTCCAGAGCATGAGGGCAAAGGCCAGTGTTGGAGGAGCCCTCCCCTGAGGAGGATGCTGTTTTCTCTGGCCTCTGGGGGCCTCTGTGCTCTCCATCATAAAATGGAAATATCTGCCCTACTCCCCTCACAAGGCTAATTTGAGAACAGAGAGCTTAATTCTTATGAAAGCATCTTACAAATATAAAGTAACATGGTCCTACTGCTTCATAATCAACTCTTAGATCTACATGCTCTAACAACTGTAGAATACAGTGATCTCATAGGATGCCATTGCCTCCCCAAAAAATCCCTTCTTTTCAGAAATCAAGAAAAGCCATGAAGTGGAAAAGAAATCACTTGAGGATATGCTTCACGAGAAGCAGGAATCATTGGAGGTGGGTCTATCTCATTTACCCCACCCCCCAGAAATATCCCCATTCCTGAGGTTTGTGTGGTTTGGGTAATGTTTCTGTGTACATTTGCTATGTTTTTGGTGTCTGCTTGCTAACTTGTGCTCCACATTTCATTGTTTGTTTTAGAAACAAATCAATGATCTGAAGAGTGAAAATGATGCTTTAAATGAAAAGTTGAAATCAGAAGAACAAAAAAGAATATCGAGAGAGAAAGCAAATTTAGTAAGTTGTGTGTGCTTCTCCATTACTACTGAGTTCTTTTCTGCTCAGCTGCCTGTGAGGGTCAGCCCGTGTTCAGCAGCTGGGGAAATGATAGCGGTTTGGAATCCTTTCCCTATGTTGCAGAGTAATTTTTAAACTGGCTTCTTTGTTTACTGATGGCTTTTAGAAATCCCAAGACCTGACATACAGAGGAAGCCCAGTATATTGCGAGTGGTCTAAACTGATAACTATGGGAAGACAAGAAAATTGTCAGTGAGGGTCAGGGTTTCATGAGAAGACTACTACTTTTTTTTCTTAAAAAAAAACAAAAAAAAACCCAAAAAACAAAAAACCTCCGTGGTATATTGAGATAAAATTGACATAGCACAACATTCACCCTTTGTTAAATGTGCAGTTCAGTGGTTCACAAATTGTGTATTGGTCACTATTATCTACTTCCAGAACATTTTGTCACTCCAGAAAGAAACCCTATACCCATTCCCCACTAAATCCCCCCAAACCCCCCGTCCCTAGGGAACCACCATTCTACTTTCTTTCTCCATGGATTTGCCAACTCTGGGCATTTCCTATAAATGGAATCATGTTCTGTGTGGCTTTTTGTGTCTGGCTGCTTTGGCTCAGCTTCTGTCCTTGAGATTGATGCGTATTGTAATATGTATGGACACTTCATTCCTATCTGTGTCCGACCAATAGGTCATACGGATTATCCTCACTTGGGAAAAGTACAGATTTATCTCATAAGCTCACCTTTCTCTTGCAACTTGTATCCTGACTCACCTGGCCCCACCTTTTCCGTTTCTGTCTTCAGTGCCACCATTTCCCTTCCATATGTTTGTGCCTGAGACTGCAGAAGCAAAGTTCTTTTGCCATTTAAAATCTGCTAGCTTGGAAAGCACATGCGCGTGGGTCTCTTAGTGAAATTTTTCACGGATGTCTTTGGATACCCTCTAGGCTTTTGAATACAATTGGATGAGACGAGGTCATACCCAGTGAAACTTCAAAGCTATTTATACTGGAAGATTTTTAGACAAAAGAGCAATTTCAAAAAAAAAAAAAAATCTAGGCTTACATGCAGGGTGTAAACCTTATAAGTGGTTCCAGGAGTGGGTTTTAAAGGGCTTCCTGGAACTGCAGCAGCTTTTGAAAATGAACGGAAACAGATTGAGGAAAGCAGGGTTACCTGAGGCCTGACCCCTGTGGGAATGCACCTGATACCCTGGGAGAGCACATTTGAGGAAGGCCCGGGCCAGCACGGACATCAGCAAAGGTGTGGTGGAAACAGGGCTGTGAATGCTCGAAGTTTAAAAATGGACATGGTATTGCTTCTCGGCCTTTTGGCTATGATCAAGTATAAAAATGGACAGAGTAAATGACAGAGTAAATGATGTCTCCTTTTAAGAAAAATGAGGTACTTGTTTTTTTTTTTCCCCCTAAAGATAATACATCCTGTGTCAAAGGATGAGAGTATTTGAGGCCTATGAAATTTGGGCAAGAGCTCTGGATTTGCAGACTTGGGTATTAAGCCTGCCCCAGCCCTTTCCCGTTCTGGCACCTTCCCTGAGCCAGTCCCCTGGGTTGTGGGACTCTCTGTATCCTATGGAGTGAGGGGTTTACATAGGTAGTCCTGAGGACCCGTTCCCTGATCATCCCTGAGGCTTGGTCTGGAGCCCAGGAGTATAATTTGGATGACTTACCCACTGACACCTGTCTGAGATTAGACATCCAGTTGGTAGATCTGACATGGTCAGTTTGTATGTTTGGGATGATTCACTTAGATTTCCAGAACTAAAGCAAAGAGTCAGGATTCCACTCTGGTGGTGTACTCTAAGAGGATCTCTCCCCTTATGTAGCATTTATTTTGGACAGAATTTTAGTAGTGCATGTGCTGTATGCCGTAGGGTGTCACAGAATAAACAAGAAGGACAGGCCAAGCCAATAGAGTCCCCTCATAATAAAAATGCCAAAGACTCAGGACACGATTGTCACTCTGTTTTCCAGAAAGCCCTAGAAATGCACTGTCCTTTCACTCCTGATCAGTTACCACCTTTGTTGACAGAACAGTTGTTCCCTTTTCTCCCCGCCAAACAGCAGTAAAGGACTATAATGGCCTCAACTCTAGCCAGAGTTGTTTTGCGTTGTAAGCAATGCTTTTTTTTTTCCCCTCTTCCAGTGAAATATTTGGTGTGACCAATATTTTCCCATGTTAAGATCCTGATAAATGAAAGAAGTGTTTGTTTTCAAGGATGAAATGATTTCATTCTTATAACCGAAGACTGTGAGAGTACTGTTCTCTTAACCCTTTATCCGCCTCTTCCTCTAGCTGCTGTGAGAAGGTTAGAAGTCTCTCCCCCAATATCTAAATCTAATCAGAGACTCTGTCTATTAAGAATTTAACAACGTGCGGTTAAATAACCAAAGCTGGGTTCTGCTATGTCTGTTCCAGAAGAACCCTCAGCTCATGTACCTGGAGCAGGAGTTAGAGAGCCTGAAGGCCGTGTTGGAGATCAAGAACGAGAAACTCCATCAGCAAGACATCAAGTTAATGAAAATGGAGAAACTGGTATGTTTCTTTCAGGGGTTTACCCGGCAGAAGTGAAGTCTGTGGCATAGGGACTGGGCTCTGAGCTAGAACTGCAGAGTCATTTTAACTGCTACTTCAAGGTACTTGGAAATGTGCAGAAGGTAACAGAGGCTACATTTGCTTCTGTGGGTTTGCTCCAGGTTTATTTATTGTTGCCTTCTGGAACTTTTTTTTTTGTTTCCCAAGGAATATAGAAAGCAGCATTTGGGTCCTTGGAAAAACCACAACAAACAAATTAGACTTCCATTTTAGAGGTCTCTGGATCTTAATGCATCGATGAAGAATCTTAAAAACCTGTAAAAACAGTACTTTAATATATCACCAACTCTGGGCTGTTGTCTATGTCACAGTTAAAAATGTAAATGAATCACATTAGGGCAATGCAGTTTGCTATCTAAATTCATCCTCTTTCTTGTGAATTAGAATGTAATAGAAGAGTCGTGCTCTCATAAAATTAATCTGGCTGGACAGATGCAAACATTATGAAAAATATGAATGAAGTGGAGTTTGTAGCCTTGAGGGCAGAGCACCGATGTCAGCCAGTGACAAGTTTACTGAGAAGTCTGTGTTTGGGTGGTGTGCCTAGCCCTGGCACACGGCTGCTGGGAGACAGGAGTCTCACCAAGTGGGCAGGGTTTGACAAGGAAGCTTAAGTGATCCCAGCTATTGCCATACTTTGCCCTTGACTGTGCCAGCTGCCTCACTGTGCCTGTCCCTTGTCCCCGAATTATGAGTGATTCATTGTTGAGTGACTGAGTGCCTCGTTCAAGCCCAAACCAGCACTGGACAACAGGGAGCCTGGAGGCCACTCTTTGTTTGCTTCCTGGTTTGTCTGAGTTTTAGTGTTTGGTTTGGTTCAGTTTTCTAGAGACACCATTACCTCACTGTTGAGGCATGTAAGGGCTAAACCCCCACCTGGATATATGGGCACTTTGACATGCCAGGCAGTTTTGATATTTCTTTTAAAGGAAGGAAAGAAGAATTCTTATGGTTTATTAATGAGCCTAATCTGGCATAGATACCAGTTTCTGCCAAAGGTCATCCTGTTCCATCAAGCCTGATAACTCAGCTAATCTCACAGTCACTGGTCCTGTAGATCACACTGCTAATAGTTTGTTGCCGCATGTACCATTCCTGCATCCAAACTTTTCAAAATACCATATACATGAAGAACAGGCTCTGTTATAAAGTTGACAACACATTGTAACTTTTGTTGACCCAGAAATATTTTTGTTTCTGGCCGTGCCTGAGAAGTATCATGGTATTTGTTAGCATTGAGTTGCTGCAACAGGCCACATCCAAGATAAAGTGGTTACTTTATCTTCAGGCATACCTCAGTGAACGATATTGTGGGTTTGGTTTGAGACCGCTGCAACGCCAGTATTGCAATAAAGTGAGTCAAATGCACTTCTTGGTTTTCCAGTGTACGTAGAAAGAAGTCTGTTAAGTCTGCAATAGCATTATATCTAAACAAAACTAAACAAAAAAATCAATGCACATACCTTAATTAAAAAGTGCTAACTATCTGAACTTTCAGTGAGTCGTAATCACTAATCACAGGTCACCATAGCAAAGGTAATAGTATTGAAAAAGTTTGAAATATTTCCAGAATGACCAAAATGTGTCAAAAACCTTGAAGAGAACAAATGCTATTGGAAAAGTAGCACCAGTAGACTTGCTTGACCTGGGGTTGCCACAGATCTTCAATTTATTAAAACGAACAAAAAATCCCCCAGAAAACCCACAATACCTGCACAGCACAAAGAAGTGACATATAATAAAATGAGGTATGCTTGTATTTGTAAGCTTGGAGCCTGTGTAGAAAATAAGACTCCTAGAAAGCAAGGAGGCTTTCTCAGTATGAAAGCTTTGGTATGAAAACTAGCTCTGCGGGTGGTTGGCTGTGTGGGAACACGAGGGCTAGTTTCCTGTGAAAGGACACACTGGATGAGATAATACCATCAGGCCAATCCCTGCCCAGTCTCTCATTCCAGATTTCCCCACCTCATGTGTCATCTTGAATTCCTTTGTAATTACAGGAAATCCCAAGGCTCCCTTTCTCTTACAGTGTCATTTTTGGGAAGGTTATGCTTGTCCTGAGCACTTTCTGGATAATAGGAAAGATTAAGAACAGTAGGACTCCCAACCGAGAATCATAATCAGAGTGGATTAGTCATACACTGCCAAGACAGGGATTAGCATTAATTCTGACAGAGCTATGATGTCACCGCCTCAGCAAGTAATAAAATCTTACCTTTAGGAAGTAATGGGATGTAATCAGCTCTTCCTCACGTTAAGTGATGAAATGTCTTCTGGGATTTTATCCTTGAACCTCTCCCCTGATCAGTTTGTTTTCCCTGGAAGTTTAGCCTGGGCAGACCCGCAGGAGAACGGATGTCTCTTCCCTTGAATGGAGGAGGGAGGCTTTGTGTAGCGAGTGCTCCTTCTCCCGGTTAGTGCTCCACGGAGCTTGGTGAATCCGTGCTTTGTGTGGCCACCCGAATTTAAGACTACAGAGAAACTCCAAACCGCGTTAAGACCATAATGAACAAGAACTGTCAGCTGTGGGCCTACTATGAGTTTTCTTCGAACACGGGGATTTTTTTTTTTCTCCAGAATTTACCCCAGGAAGCTGTAGTGCAGGCCTGCGCTATTGTCATTTTACCACCTTGCAGCTGAAGGAGGCGCCCAGGGCCCATGGTTGCCCAGGGCCGGGCACCAGTTCTCAGGGGCAGTTGTAAAACCTCCCCGCACCCCGCCTCCCCCCTCCCCCGACCCCAAACAAGTCCATCACCCCCGGGGCCACATCAGGGACCTGGCAGAGCTTTTTTAAAAATACATGTTTAAAAAATTATTAATCTATTAAAAAATAGATTTTAAAAATCTATTTTTTTATATTTCAACTTCATTTTTTCAGTGTTCCAAGATTAAAAACACATCTAGATGCCCTGTTTTGCTGCCTCAGATTCTTTGGCAGCATGTGTCCAAGTGTAGGTATTTCGGAATTTGACTAAACCTTCCTTAATGAAATCTCTCCAAGTGGTTAGTGTCAGGAATGTGTCTGAGGGAAGGAGGGGCTTTCCTGTTTCATGTCTAAATGCCAGCATCTCGTTCACACCAAGGTGGACAATAACACAGCCTTGGTTGACAAACTGAAGCGATTTCAGCAGGAGAATGAGGAATTGAAAGCTCGCATGGACAAGCACATGGCGATTTCCAGGTAAGAAAGGTCCCGTTTTCCCTGAGCTCTTCCTGCCCTCGTTACTATACTCCGTCCCCATGGAGCGTGAAATGGGACTGAAGTGGGTGGTTCACCAGCTACTGACTTCCATGTGGAAAATAGGATGGGAGCCAGTGGTGTGGACCACTGTGGCCCCCGGCTTCCTGATCCTGAGATGCTTTCAGAGAAGGAGCATCACAAGACCCAGTAAGAAACAGCCTCAAGCATGAGACAGTCATAAGACATGGAGAAGAGCTGTGGTAGGGCCACCCAGCCAACAAGGAACTCGCCCCCAAAGGTACTTTTCCTTGGGCTGAGGCTTACACTCCCAGCGTTTCTCCAGCAACCAGGCCCCCCGTGTCCAGTCAGCCGTGGGCAGGACTCCCTTTTGTTCCAAAGGGATTGTTTCGTGGGCTCAAATTTTAAGTGGTAAGAATTTTTTCAAGTTCCTTCGAACTCAGGTCCACGTGGTTTGTGGCTCTTTTTCTGTCCTCAAGGCAACTTTCCACCGAGCAGGCTGTCCTTCAGGAGTCACTGGAGAAGGAGTCCAAGGTCAACAAGAGACTGTCCATGGAGAACGAGGAGCTGCTGTGGAAGTTGCACAACGGGGACTTGTGCAGCCCCAAGAGGTCCCCCACTTCTGCTGCTGTCCCCTTCCAGTCACCGAGGAACTCCGGCTCCTTCCCCAGCCCCAGCATCTCACCCAGATGACGCTTTCTGGAAGCTGGGAGACTGTCCAAAAGCTTTTGTACAGGTCTGCGGGACTGACCCTAACCACGCTCATGGGAGCGAGCACTACGGTAGTGGACGCGTGCTGACCACTCTGGAACTAGAGAGTCGCCACCCCCGAGGCTCCTTAGGAGACTGGAACTCTGGAGAAAGACTTGGACCCCGTCCCAGAGCCTCCCCCCAAAGATCTCAGAATGGATCTACATGGACGCTGTTGCACAAAGCACTTCAAGAACAAGAGGGTCTTGTTCATTGCCTTTTTCACCTAAGCATAAGGGGAAAAAAACTCTCAGGGGCCTGTTAAGATAAAGATTTATAACCTTTATAATGTTCTTCACCACAGACACCTTCTTGTGATTTTTGTTTTGGTCTGACTGGGGATGTGTGAATGAAATGGGTGCACAGAGTGTCATGTGTCCGACGCTGCCTCCTTTGCTCTGAATTGAAAGTCCAATGCTGTGTAAATCTGGGTATGTACTAATCTAATAACAGTCAGTGTATGCATTTCTGCAAAAGCCATAGGAGGAGGAACGATAGTCGCTTGAATTAAAATTCTCTACCACCATCTTGGCTCAGCCCTTGACGGTGGGGAGTGGTAATGACAGGAAAAGCTTTGGCTCGTCCATGTCTATCCAGCTCTGTATCCTTCTGGAGTAACTTGTTGGCAGGCTTTCGGTGCTTGGTAATGTCAGCTGAAACTAGTTAGATTTTTAATGTCCCCACGTGAACCTAACATGATACTACAATCTATTTTCTCAGGCTATGCGCAAATAGAGAACCCTAATTTTTCTAAAAATCTGTATAAAGCAAAAGGGCAGTACTGGTTGATTTACTTCTGCCTTACTTTTACTTTGATCTAAGCTATTCCCACGGGTTGAAACTATCTGCCCTCCCATGATCCTCACTTCCCCCCCTTCCTCTTCTCCCAACCCCTCCCCTACTGTCCCCCCCTCTCACCAGAGCCACAAAAGCAAACCTTCTACCTCCTACCTACTTTTCTCTGGGACAAGAAATACGCTTTTCCAGAGCCAGCTCATCATCGAGGTGCCAAAACCACTTTCCAAATAAACCAAGGCCTGGATCTCCTAGTACAAATTTTGGGAAACCTTAGAGAGAATAAAGAGTAAGTCATTAGCTAGTTAGAACTAAGGTAGGATCTGTGCTTCTCGAGGAATAGGAACAGCCTGTTTAACGCAATGATGCCGTATTGAGTAAAACATTTGGAGAAGAGATGCTGTTTTCATGCATCCTTTGAAGAATCCTTCCGTCCTTGAGAAAGTAGCAGAATGGTCATTGAATGAATGGACAATATGCAACTCCCTCCAAGTTGCATTGCAGTTTCTTTTCAGAACTTATTACCTCCCCCCTTTCTAGTACTTTGGGGGGGGGGGAGTAGAAGGAAGACCTGTGGCTTCATCTCCCTCTCCCTGCATGTCAGTGTTTACTAACCTGTGTCGCTGATGCCCAGTGGCTTTACAAGTAACCGCTATAGGGTAAGAACGGACTTGGGATACTAGAGGTGGATATGGTCCTCATTTACATGTATACTACATAGCAAACTGATCTTCATGATGCATGGTTGTTTTTATTAGTGATTGTGTCTCAAGCCTTTAACCTCCAACCATTTCTTATGTATGTAACCTTCCATGTTTGCTTCTGATAAATGGAAATATAAGTTCACTGCCACCTCCTGGCATAGCTCTCCCCTTGCCCTTCTGAGTTGTTTTCAATGCCATTAGCCAAAGTCGTGTTTGCCATCCATCTCCTACGCATGGGACGTCTTGTGCTGTTCCTTGCTGTCCTCCATACCGTTTAGGTGTCTGGGGAAATCAGTCTTTTACACAGTTAATACAAAATGTCTTCCGATAAATGGGAGGCAACAGGAGAGTAGATAGGAATGAACCAGAGAACTTTGATTTTTTTTTTTTCCAAACCAAATGTTTTTCATGTAGGATGCAAAATGTTGGCACGTCATGAAAATATGGATGTATAAACTGTAGTTGTGCTCAGTTTGTAGTGATGGAAAGTGTATTTTACTTTGATCAAATAAATAATGCTGGAATATTCAATGTAAGAGTTGTAACCTCTGACCTATTCCATCCTCCAAAGTGTCACCCAGTTTTTAGCCCTTCTCAAGACCCAGGTAGCCATCAGTCTCCTCTTCAGCTGTTTCCCAGGAGCTTCCAACGCAATGACAGAATTAGTCATGGGGCTGAAATCTGGCTTTCAGAGTTAGACTTACAAGTAAGCTTCTCTGAATTCCCAGCTATGTGTATTGGAGAAATTTTGACTGATTTTAGCAATTTCTTCTGTATAAGGTAAGAAAATGGGAACAGCTAAAGTCTAAATATTTTTAAAGATGGTAAAAAAGCCTAAACGAAGTTGAGTCTTCCTTGACGTGGAAATTTATTTTATATTGAAAGTTGAATTTTTAGAAAATACTCAAGAATGACTCCTTTAGAACTCGTACTTTTGAGTATGGCAGCTTAGAAAGGCAAGTTTACACCATTTTTTGATACCTTTGTATTTGCATTGTAGATAATGGCTGACCCATGTCTTACTGCATTTTTAGGTCCTCATGTGTTGTAGTCGTGGTATCAAATAGAATCTTGGGTAATGATCCAAACATTGCTGCCAGCATGTCCGTCTGGATGCACTTCAAAACCAACTAAAAAATGAACCCTTAGCTCATTTTATTTTTACAGAAACTTGCTTATTTAATAGAAATGAGGATATAAAGTTAATATCAATGCTTTTTTATTATAAAAAGTAGAAATGCATGGAGATAGGTAAGCAATCAAAATACATGCTCTCTGTCAGAGGAGTTAACACTTCTATTATTAGACCGGATGACTTCCTTTCAGTTTGGATGTCTGGGTCTGACTCACAGGGCAGGGGGTGGGGTCTGGCACTTGACATCAGCCTCTGGCAAAGCATTGGTTAAAAGAACCCCGAAGCGGGTTATGGACACAAATGAACTTTCCATTAATTCTTCGTACTTCATATGCCAAGTCAGGAAGACTCAACAGTGGTAGCAACTGTGGTCTCCCCTTGGAGATTGTGAGCAGTGCAAATATAATATCCTACATCAATGGTCTCAAAGTCTTCGATTGTCAGGGTGCTCTGGGAGATTCTTGTGGTGTGCGCCAGTCCTCTGTGGATCAGCCTCCAACTGTCTTGAATTGTCACGGGCCTTTCATCCTGTTGAACGACACCCCCATGTGCTGAAGCACAAGCAAAAGGCCGCTACAAACAGCTCCCATTCACCCAGCACCATTGGGTGTTGTTTTCCAAGGCCAAAATACGTACTTATAAAAGATTATTTGGTATGCGTAGCACAGGGGAGCTTTTACACTGTATAAACATAATACTATTTGGCACGCTCTTTCTGGTCTTCAGTAAGTGGCTACTTAATATGAAATTTATTCTTTTGGAACTCCAAGAATGTAGAACTGGAATTAGGCAAAAAGAAAACAGGGATAAAAATTTCCACTGCTCTCCTCTTGACATTGCCCACTCAGTAGTTCTGTGTCACAGAATTTAAAGGCAATTGTGAATGAGTAAGAGCTCTTGATTGTTCAGATTTGGGGGAAGCAGAAGTAGAAATAGATATTCCAAAGGACTCCGGGGAAGAGATAAGTTGTACCCCAAGGATGGATAACATGATGCCCTAGATGACATAACTTCCTATTTCTAGAAAGTGAGATGGTCATTTTAAGATGCTTCATCCAACTTTGGTGATAAGGATGTAGTGTGTCCTGGATTAATTTAACATAACTCTAATATCACCAGTATTTTAAAAAAAAATACCCTTTCTGCTCATAAAAAAGAAAAACATTCTGTTGCAAATCACTGATGTCTTCAAAGTGTGACATTGCTTTTTAAAAACATGTACCTAGTCCCAGGAAACTACTTTTTTCCGGGGAGAGTTATTTTCTACCAATCATAGTAGCCAATACACTTGTGGCTTATGGGCCAAGTATGTCTTAGGAGGCCAAATCTCTTCTGGCAAGGAAGGGATTATTCCATGGTGGTAGAAAGCTGTTTATTTTGGTGAGCAAAACAGGCACAGGGGCTAAATGTGCGGTGGTTGCTCTTATGGAAAGTCTATTTTAAAATAATCTCTGGCCTCACAGCACCTTTTTGCCAGGGCCTAGGTTTTTATGCCCACTTGGTGGATGTCCTCACCACAGGGCATAGTTTGTATGGGGAGAGCTCTCTGCTGGAAACCAAGTGGCCTCCAACTGACCCAGAATTGGGGGTGGAGAAAGAGGGAAGCTCCCTCCTTTGCCTTTCAGGTCTCATCCGTGCTTAATGGAGAAAAATAACATATAAAGAGGGTATGCTGAACTGCCTGATGGAACCCATTTTTTTTTTTTCCAAAAAAGAAAAGCCACTTGTAAATATAATAAAATGTCTTAGAAAACCAGTAAGCCTGGGCTCCTACTGTGGTTCCACACACTTCCTGAACTTCTCAAGTTCTGATCTCTTCAGTTACAGGTGGGAATGGAGGACAAAACAGCGAGCTGAGAGAGCTGGCTGGGGCGGGGGGACAGCCCTTACCTTCTGTCCTGGATAGATCCACCTGAATTCCACCTCAACGTCAGGTTCCCCGAGGACTGTACAGAGGACACTGATGTCATCCCCACTTCTCACCTTGTTTGAGGACGCCAAGATGGTTGTTGACGGAGGGCCTCTGGGAACTGAAAGGAAGCAAAGGACAGGGAAAGTGAGATGGAATCCGTGTGACCTTGCAGACAAACCTTGAGAGGCATTCTACTCTTCGAACAGAGCTGTAACGTTTCTGCCTGCCTTCCAGCTTCCCGGTCAACTTTCGGTGTCCTTTGGGGCCTCTTCTCTACCTTGATGGTCTGGGGTGTGTGCTTATCCAGGACTCCCAGGCCTGGCCCTTATATTTACTGGGAGAGGAGGCTGAAAGTTCTGGGAATAAGGAGGGGAATAAGAAAGTTGAGGGAGAAGAAGGTGCGTGGGGAAAGAGTAAGCAGAAGGTAGAGAAGGGGTGGGCTGGGAGGAGGGGAGCTGAAGGGGTGAGGAGGAGCCAGGCAGGTATGTGACTGTCCATCCTCAGAAGGAAGAGGAGAATGAGTCGAAGGAAAAAGATGTTCGCAGGAAGGGCGCAGGTACTACATCTGTTGGCAGTCCTTTTACTTCACAGCGATGTAGAAACGTCTCTTCACTGGGGTCAGTTCCCTCAAGTAATTGTGATGGCAGCCTTGAGTAAGGCAATGGACTAGGAGCTGGGACAACCCGGACGTGGTCTCTGAGCCCTTGGGGACCTCTCTTCATGGTCTGGAGGGGGCAGACACTAAGCAAGTAAGTGTGCGGTTTATATAAAACGTGAGTTCTGTTAGGAACTGTGAAGGAGAAGCCCAGCATGTTCTAGAAGCTCAGAATAGTCTGCAGAGCAAGAAAGGCTTCCTTGATTGAGGGAACAATGTTTGAACTAAAATCGGATGGCTGAGCTTAACAGGCACGGAGGGAGAAGCAGGGAGGCAGCTGCGGCCTGGGGAATCCCAGTGTGTAGAGCCCCTGCCGTGAGGTGGACGAAGGCCAGGTAGGCTGCAGGCTGGGGAGGGCGGCAGGGACTGGTCCGGCAAGGCCCCTCAGTCCACCTGCAAGATTCTGACTAGAGGTCTAGGATACATGGGCACCTACAAAGTGGTCTTAATTGTAATTATAGTCAGCTATGGTATGGAAGATGAAGAAAGAAAAGGGGGAAACCATTGAAAAGAATTGCATTAGTCCCAGGAGGAGAAGATGATAGTTTGAACTTTTTTTTTTTTTTTGCAATGAAGATAGGGAGAAATAGGGCACTAAAAGATGATGTGAAAATGATTTGATGAAAAGGTGAAAAGGCCTGGGAGGGAGGAGACAGGGCTGTCAGGTTGACTCCCAGTCCTGAGCCG